TACCCTTAAGATAACCATGTTGAGCATTAGTTTAATATCTTGAAAATTAAGTGATGACGATTTTTTATTTACAAGACTTGAAAGAATAAGTCCATAAAATTTTGTAATCAAGAGTAGTTTCATGTTGTAGAAATAAACACTCAAAGTTAAAATTTCTCAAAAAACTGATAGAAACCTAGTAGTTTTTTTTACAACTTTTGAATATTATGAGGGCGGCTTACAACTGTAAAATTTGGTAATGTAGGCAGTAAAGACTTGTTGAATGACTGTAGTCCATATTTAATTGTTGTGCCATTTATAAGTAAAGAATTCCGTGGTCGCAAAGTTTTGAAACTAAATTTATACGATATTACAAATTTTGCAGTTTTTTGGATAGAATATTTGCGGCTCTTTTGTTATGCAAAATTTAGAAATGAGAAAAATTAGACACTGTATTAGGCGTCGTTTGATGTACATATATCTCCAAAATGTGCTCTAGAAGATATCACTGTGGGAGAAGCTTAAATATTGGAAAAATAAACGTGAAAGTTTCAAAAAAGGACTTTTTCGCGATGCACACTAACAGCGTAACTTCAATATACCAAAAATATCGCGTGATCGAAATACTTTAAAATTTTACATGTTGAAATCATAAAGCCGCGATAAAATATTAGCATGCAAAGTTAGAGAGAATACAAAAAAAATTGCGAATTTTAATTTAGCATATAAATATATGAATTTCAAACATTAGTAGTTGTAACCGAAAAAAAGGTTAGAGCTAAAAATTTTGAGTCAAATAAACATTATTCTGTCATTGCAACCAATACTCCATTGAAAACACTTCAAAATTCAGTCATGGCATTAGAACTTTAATTAATTAAACGTTTCTAGCCGAATATACTACGGCATCTTATGGTTCAGTTACCTCAATTTATTGATATATGAAATACCAATAGCAACACCACAATTATACTTAGCCTATACCAGTGCCCTCCGAACCGAAATTACAAAAATTTGGAAGATTGGAAACAAATTCGGTTAAAAGAGAAAACAGATTCCTTGTCATAACCGAATTTTGGCTTTGGTTTGTTTTTTTAATAGATTTAAATTTTATTTATAAAGAAATTTTTGAATAAGAAATAAATAGTTTTTTGTTTTTTTAGAACTAAATTATATTATTAAAATCTCAATAAAAATTTTTACTTTTGTATTATGTAGTCGGTTGGAATCAATATAACCAAAATTTATATTTTATTCGGTTGAAAATACCGAATTAGGCTTTATTGTATTAACTAGCTATACCTACGGTGATCATATTTTTTAACAAAATACAGAACAGGAGAAAATAAAATACACTAACCACTATTTTTTAAATCAGGTTATTTTTAGTTTTAAACATTGATTGTTCACAGAAAAAAAGTTTAAGCATAAATATTATGAACTGCTTTCATTGACAAAAGTTAATAATATTTAAGAATAAGTTCCTAAATGGTATCAATTTTTTAATTTTTATTTTTATTTTTCTATTTGTTAAAAAAAGGTTAAAAATTTTCTTTGGAAAATTTTTTATTTCTTTATGATTTTTAGATTAAAATCGATGAAATGTGCGCGTTATTCGCGGGCCTTTTTGAAGAAAGGATGTTAACTGTGTTTTCTGATGATTTCCTGTTTTAGATTTTGTTTTTAAATATTTAAATTTCTATTTTTAATTATACAAAATTCGCTAATATAGGAATACTATTACGTTACTATGTAAACAGAATAGTAAATAGTGGACTTTTATGCAGTTATTTCATGCATATCGTTGAAAAAAAGTAAAAATTCAAAAAATTTCCGTCATGTACAAGTTCATACATTTTATAAACTTTTAATATTCTGAACGAAAATGGTTTGGGAAAAAAGTCATGTTCGATTCATACAATTTATTACAAAATTCATTCAAGCTATGTATTAATTTTTTCTGTGTTAGAGAAATAAAAATATATTAATAAAGTACAAATAGAAAGCGAATACTAAATGTTTATAGTTGAAAAAACTACATTTGTGGCAAATTTTTTAAATATTTTTCTATTTCTTATGCGTTTTTATGTAAAACTGAAAAAATAACGAAATACTGAACAAATAAATAACACTAAATAAAATACAGAACATTTTCATGTTTTTTATCAAAGAATAATTTATACAGAACAGGGCTCTGAAACTGTTCTGTATAATACAGAAAGTCTGGTCAACGTAGCTATCTATACACAGTGTGCTTCGCTATCCTAAAAACAATATTAATAAAAACCCCTTTACTATTTTTCATATTTACTTTTTACTTGAAAACCCCATTTCTCTAGTCAGCAAACGGTGGCTCAGAAATTAATTTCTTCGACCAAAAGTCCACTGTTTTGTTAACACATTAAAACTAAAGTTAAAAAAATTGGTCAAAATATTGGTAATTATGGGCGTGGCATACTCCTAAAGACAAATATTTTAACACTATTTAACACTTTTTTCATTTGAATGAAATTACTCATTAAATTTAAGGTATGAACCTGTTTACAAAATTATCATTGATATTATTTTTTCTCAAAAAAACAGTAGATTTTAGTATAACCGGTTCAAATGGAACCTGTTGTGAGATTTAAAAATAGGGAACCTGTTCAAAAAATTATTCTAGGTATTACTTTTTTATACAAAAAACAACCGATTGTAGTGAAACCGGTTGTAGAGTAACCGGGTCTAGTGAAACCTTTTGAAGAATTGATAAAGTAGGATCCTGTTTACAAAATTATCGTGGACGTTACTTTTTTTGCCAAAAAAAATTGATTCTAGTAGAACTGCTTCTAGAGGAACCGGTACTAGTATAACTTCCGGTAGAATTGATAAATTTGGACCCTGTTCGCAATATAATTCATGGCACGCATTATTTTTTTGTCAAAAAAATATGTAATCGATCCTAGTGGAAATGATTCTAAAAGAACCGGTTCTAGAGGTACCTGTTATAAAATTGATAAACCAAAAACTTCTCTACCAAATTTTATGTTGATCGGTCTATAATTGACCCTACCCCCATATAAGGTCCCTTTCAGAATATGAGTTTAACGCCCATTACTGGCTTAAAAATACGAGTATAGTGATGAAATTCGACACACATAAATTTCAATGAAGCCAAAATCTCTCTATCAAACTTTATGTGGATCGGTCCATAATTGACCCTACTCCCCATCTAAGGTGCCCTTCAAACAATTACTTAAACGATCATTACTGGCTTAAAAATACAGAATACAGAAAAGCCATGAAATTCGACACACATATTTTTTATACGAGTTAAAACCTCTCTACCAAATGTATTGAGGATCGGTCCATAAGAAAATTACTTTAACGATCTTTGCTGACTTAAAAATACGTGAACAGTTATGGAATTTTATATAAGAAACATTTATAGGAACGTAAATCTTCCTACCGAATTTCATGCGGAAAGTGTCGGGAAGTGATATTCGATGTAAAGATGTTTTGTATGAACCAAAGTTGGTCTAAAAAATTTATGAAAAACGGTCAATTATCTCTCACATATGGTCCTCTTCAGTTAATTTGATGAGTAATATCACCCTGATGTTTATAGGGTAGCATTTCTTTTAAGGCATACGATTCGGCACAGCCGAATATAACACTCTCACTTGTTCGTTCTACAAAAGATACTTTTTGAATTTTTTATAATATTGAACCTAGAAACATGAAATTTAGCATATACGGCCCGGGTAAAGTGAGAACCTATAAAAGGGGACTGTTTGGTACTTTATCGTTTTTCAAAAGGAATTTTTTGAATTTAATATTGGCCCTAGAGACAAAAAATTAAGTATGTAGGGCCCGTAGTAAGTCATAACTTATAAAATTTTCGTTCTTCAAAAGGTACTTTGAATTTTCTACAATATGGAAACTAGAAACATGAAATTAAACATGTAGGACCCGGAGTTAGTAACAACTTATAAATGGGTATTTTTTGGTACTTTTTCGTTAACCTATAAAAGGGAATATTTTGGAAATTTTTCGTTCTTAAAAAGGTACTTTGAATTTTCTACAATATTGAAACTAATAATATGAAATTAAACATGTAGGATCCGGACTTAGTGACAACCTATAAATGGGGATTTTTTTCTACTTTTTCGTTGTTCAAAAGATACTTTTTAAATTTTCTATAATATTGAACCTACAGACATAAAATTAAGTATGTAGAGCCCGGAGTAAATGAAAACCTATAAATAGGGATTTTTTGGTACGTTTGTGTTCTTCAAAAGGTACTTTTTGAATTTTCTATAATATTGAACCAAGAAACATGAAATTATATATGTAGGTCCCGGATTAGGTGAGAACCTATAAAAGGGAATTTTTTTTGCCTCTTTTCTGATCTTCAAAAAGTACTTTTTGAATTTTCTATAATATTTAACATAGAAACATGATCCTGGAAACAAAGGATCAAAATATAAATTAGGTATTTATAGTGAGAACATGTAAAAAGGGACTTTTTGGTACTTTTAAGTTAATACAAATCTGGAGGAGACGAGATTGTTCTATGAATGGTACACTCTTTGGTTTTTATGCAACTTTTGATACTTTTTACAACTGGTATTTTTTGTAATAATTTTTTCTACTGGCTATTCTATTTAACACATCATGGTGAAGGGTATATAAGATTCGGTACATCCGAATATAAAACTCTTACTTGTTTATGCTAGCATTGTTAATGCTTTGGTAAATGCTTTGATAAATTCAAATAAAATTCTAAAACTGAAAAAACCGTGTCGGTAAAATATATAAAATTTCGATTATTTTTTGCTTTTACACAAAAAATTCTTATATACAATTGAAAGCGTCTCCATTTCTTATGATACCAAAATGTTCTATCATTACTTTAGAAGAAATCTGGAAAAAACATAAAAATCCCAAAAATGGAGCTTTTTTATATAGCACATAGCTTTATTGACGTCAGGACATCAGCATCCGCAACTTCCTTTTTGGGCCACCCTACCATATATAACAGTTACTTACAATTGGATATTTTGTTTGCAAGGATGATATGTTATACAAAACTGAACTGTCCCAGAAGCCTCGTCGTGAATGTTCAACACGAATCTAAAAAAATATAAAAATGAATACAAGAGTATTAATCCTTTCACACACAAAACTAAACCGATGGACTTTTTATGGATGATTTAAATACCTCGGGAAACCGATTTGCCATACACTGCCTCAAAAAAAAAAAAAAACATTTTGTAATATTTTCTAAAATATTTATCCGATTTAATAAGTTTTCTAATTGTACAATTTTTAAATAATACCAGCAAAAATCTGGTAATGACTTCTTGTACTTACTCAACAACATACTTTTCAATTACAACTACTTACCATCTGCATTACTTAGAAGTACTCTAGTAATGACTTTAATTGCGTGTTAAGAATTGTATTTTACAAAGAAGAAAACGAAATTAAATTTGTATATGAAAACCTTTATTTGTGGCGCAATAAAATAGCTAAGCAATGATGCCATGTGTAGATCATTTGACTAAGACCACTTTTAGCTGAGGGAACACCAACGTGCGACATGAGTCATGCGACAAGTTTGACCACTTTTAGCTAAGGGGACACCAACGTGCGACACGAGCCATGCAACACGAGTTTGTAGGCAAAGGGGGTAAAGACGAAAGGGAAGTAGCAAAAGACGCACGAATCGTAATTTGAGGGGTTTTTTAGTATATTTTTTGTTAAGCGTTCGTATTTTTGGCAGTTGCTTTATTTTTATTCTGCACTCAAAGAGTGCAGATCGTGTGCGATCACTCGAATGCATGATTCAGTGTTGCCACTTGCAATATTTTGAATTTTATTTACATTACATTTAATCCAAAAATAATAAATATGTTAAATATTTGCTTGTTAAATTTTTGTTATTTTTATATAAAATATAAATAATCAAATAAATAACTATAAAAATAACAATATTTCTCAACTAAACTCATATTTTAATAATCAATTGGCCGTTATTTCACCAAATTTGTATAAATTATTGAAGTATATTTGTTAACCATATTTAACACAACCAGAGATGGGGTAGTGCACTAATTTTTAACTATCACTAATAATTAGTGGTAGGTCAAAAATTATTCACTACTTTTGTTTAGGTTTAGTGATGAATTGAATAATATAAGCCTCACTCAATAATAGTGATAGTGATATTTAAAATTTTTAACTAAAAATATTTTAAAAATAGTTAAAATATTTGTTTTTACAGCCTAGTGAAATAATTCTTTCTACACTAAATTATTAGTTCAAAAAATATTCCTGCACTATTTTTTTTTCTACGGTGAAATGTTTCAATCAATTGAAAGTTTAAGTTAATAGGTCAGTCTAGAAATGGTTCAAGTCAACCAAAAACTCATTGGACGAATATTATTAATGAATAAAGCTTTCATTATTTACAACATTTCCAAGCTATTGCTTAAAAAATATCCAATAACCACATCATTTTGCAACTGGCTATCTAAATCTGTATTTTCTTTTTTAATAGATGTATCTTTACAAAAATTTAATCATTTATTGTCTTACAAATTCTTTAATTTTCATTTTTAAAAAAATAGTGCAAAGAAAATTATTGCAGCCTTTTGTTAGTTACTGTTCAAATTAAAGTTAACTATTTGAGTGTAGTGCTTTTTTCCACACTACCACTCAATTGAGTTATAGTTAAAAAAATAAAATTATCACTAAAAAAATATTAGTGCTAAAAATATAAGCTTCACTATCACTAAGCTGCTGAAAATTTGTGAAAAATATATTTTTTGAAATAATATTTAGTGCTAGTGAAATATTGATTTAACTAAAAAAAAGTGCACTACCCCCATCTCTGAACACAACATTTAATAAACAAATATTTAAAAAATAAACATATATATTACCATAGCAGAAATATAGAAGGTAGTCTCAATCAAAAAAATTTAATTTAAATAAGGTTTTTTGACGTTTTTTCTTATTTTAAACTTTATATACAGAGTTGCCACGTGTTAAAAATAATAATGGATTTCAAGACATTTTTTACAAAAAATGTGTAATTAATTTATCTAAATATTATTATATCATTCACTTTTAAAGAAATTATCTGAACAAACCATAGGCTCTTTTGGCAAATTTTCTTCGTTGGTTTTGCATCTTTCAAGCCACTGTTGACGTTTACCCGGTAATATAGGGACTTTAAAAAATCTTACATTGGTATTTCGTATTTTCGCAGTTCGGGAAAATGCAGCTCATATTTATTCTTTCTTTCTATTAATTTTAAAAATTAGTTTTCAAAGATTTTAATATAAATGTGATTTTATTCAAAAGAACTATTTTTATAATATTTTCTAACAGAATTGAAATTATTTTTATAAATTTTTTACATAAACTTCAAAGCATATATAGAAATTTCATTATAAAATGGGAAAAATTAAACTGTATATGGTATCACTAATTTAACTAAAACTTCAAAATCCTTAAGCATGTCAGATAGAGAATTTAAAAAAATAATGAGAGATTGACACTACCTTCTATATTTCTGCTATGTATATTACTAAACAAAATAATAGAAAAAACATTTAAGAATCATAAATATGGTAACACTAACAAAAAATGTCGCACGCCTTTTGAGTCTCCATCTAAACGTACATTTAAAAAAGAATGGAGAAAAAATCCTGCGACATGTCCCCTCAGCTAAAAATGCTCTAACAAACCGAAGTCCCTGGTGCGTATTTTGGCTATTTTTATTAAAACAAAGCAACTTACTCAATAACATCTTTGTAAGAGAAATTGTAAGTACTTCTTTAAGCGAGCGTGGATGTACTTGGCTGCAATGTCATGAAGAAGTCGTGAAAAGATGTTTTATTAGCTTTTTAACTCATTACTTTTCAATGTAACTTTTTCCTGGGATACTCTATATCTTTATAACCTTCACTTTTGTGAGAGGATACGTAAAACATTGTCATTCCGTTTGTAATTCCTACAATATAATTTTCTGATACCATAAAGTATATACACTATCGGACAAAATAAAGTGCAAAAGTTCTCATTAAAAAAATGTGTTAAATGATTATTAAAGAATGGAATAACACAGTGAGACAAAATAAACGAAAATTTATGTACCTGAGAAGTGATACTATTTTTCTGAAAGGTGGATTCGAGTAGAACAATAATATATTTTTGAAATTTGCCAAACACCTCTAAAATCTTGAGTTACGGGTAAAAAACCGGATTTTCGTACCTTTATACGAACATAGTTGAATCTGAACCGATTTTAAGTTTCTCCACGGATTTGGAAAGCAAGAGCTGAGGCCTTTATATTAACATATATAACGTTTAAGTAACCTGGAGAGATATGTGTGAATTTCACCAGCAAACATATTTTTTGTTTTAGTTGTTCACCGTTGTCCAAGTTTGCAGATGTTTTTTAAAAGTATTTTATATAGGAAGCGTACTGTTTATTAACTGATTAGAAACCCATGTAAATTCATGAGAAAAACGCAACTTTGTTTTTAAAAATCCAAACTGATTTTCCGAAAGATACTTTATATTGGCGATAGGGCTAAATATGGGCCGATCCTCATACAATTTGGTGGAAACATTTTATGTAAACATAAATCCTTACACCAAATTTTTCGAAGATCAGCCCATATTTAACCCTATCCCCAGCATCCTTCAGAAAATTAGTTTATGAACAATTTTGTATTAAGAAAAAGATCAATAACGTCGTTAATTGCTAACGAATTTTTTAAAACAAAGTTGCGTTTTTCTCATGAATAGACATGGGTTTCTTATCAATTAATAAATAGTACGGTTCCTATATAAAATACTGTCAAAAAACATCTCCAAACTTGGACAACGGTGCAAAACTAAAATAAAAAATATTTTTGCTGATGAAATTCACACATATCTTTACTTAAACGTTATATATGTTATTATAAAGGCCTCTGCTTTCTAAATCCGTGGAGAAACTTAAAATCGGTTAAGATTTAACTAAGTTACTGGCATATAAGTAGCTAAAGGTACGAAAAACCGGTTTTTTACCCTAACTCAAGATTTAGGAGGCTCTTGACAGAAATAAAAGAGGTTTGCGTTGAACAAAATACAGTTTAAAATATTTAGTTTATTTCTATAAAAAGGGTAACAGTTAATTTCACAAATAAAGACAAATATAAATGTATTCTCTTACCGCAGTTTTGCACTTCTTTCTTTGGCTTTTAAAACGACATTAAACATTTTATCTTTAACTCACACAAAAATGCATGCAAAAAACAAGAAGAAAAAGGAATGCAAAAACGCGGTTCAAAACAGATTATTATAAACAAGGATGACACAATTAATAAAACAGTGATGAGGCTATTATGAAACATTACAGGGCGTTCCGTAACACCCTCGCCCCCATGGAGCGACCAGCTTCACCAACATCTAAGTCTGTCAGCTCTTTGTAGAACGCGGGACGCAGGTTTTACATCAGCTCGACGCACCACACCATCAGCACCAGCAAACACATGAATTACTATACCACGTCGCCATTGACTCCTGGGAAGTTTTGGATCACATATAAATACTATGTCGCCATCTTTTAATGGAGTTGTTCTTTCACACCATTTAACTCTTCTTGTTAATGTTGGCAAATACTCGAGTACTCAACGTTCCAAAATCTGTAACGAAGACTCCTTGCAATACGCCACTGTTTTTTAAGACTACAGAACTTACTATCTGCCTCATCAGCTGGTGGAGTTTGGGCCACAATTTAATAACAAACAAGGAAGTGGTTTGGCGTGAGGGGTTCTTCTTCGTCTGGGATTATTGGCAAATGAGTTAATGGGCGTGAATTGACAATGTTTTCTGCTTCTATTAAAAGGGACTGCAAAACATGTTCTTTAAGCGAAACGTTTTTTAAAGATTTCCGGAGCACTTTCTTAACGCACTGGACCATTCTTTCCCATTTTCCGCAAAGAGTGCCACCCATCTTTTTTCAGGACGCCTGCCAATAGCTACAGTCAAAGGTCCAAGATAGTCCAGACCAGTGTATTTAAATGGTCTGACGTATGGCTCGTGTCGGTCAATAGGAAGTGGACCCATAATTG